AGCAAAAAAAAAAAAAAAAAAAAAAAAGGATCGAAGCGGCGTAAAATCCCAAGGCAAGGTTGGCACTGACCCAGCAGGGGGGTGGGATAGCGATAAAGCAGAGCCATCTATCTATATTGGCGCCTTTTCCAAACATCAGAGTCATTTATATGAGCTCATTAAGAAGATAACAATGAAGAAAGAAAAGGCAGGTCTCTCCTCAATCGTTAGGTGTGTTGCCATCGGTTCAGGAAGGTTATGGGTTCGATTCCGTTGAGAGTTTCGACCTCGTCCGATTTCTCATTCATGAATATAGCGCGGTAGTGGGCCTGCTAAACCAGGCAGCATAGCGTTGATAACTCAGGCAGCTCCTTGTCTTTGATGTCAATGGTACGCTGGACCCGGTCGGTTTCCAGCAGGTGCAGCTCGCCACCAATGGAACGGAGCCATTCGCAAACAGGGTCCGTGGAGGGGGCGTCTGCTCTTATCAGCACCTCCCCCACGCCCATCAGCAATGTTAAAAAAAAAAAAAATGCGTAGAAGATCCAAGCCTCTTTTTGCCGAGGCAGAAAAGAACTGCGCACCAAGCTTTGCCGAAGCACCAGCGTGACGGTTTTTTTTTTTTTTTTTTTTTTTCCTTTTGGCTGGCACTGCCAGCACTGTTCATCCGACGTTTTCGGACTGGATCATTTTCGGTTCTCATGTTTGCCTGGGCGGTGTATTTGTTGCGGTTTAATGTCCGTTGCCAGTCCGTGGCCAGGAAAAGGACAAAGCAGAGCTGTCCAAACACTTCAGTCATAATGACTCTTTTTTTTTTTTTTTTTTTTTTTTTTTTTTTAATTACACAATGTTCTTCTCTCATATTCTTTTTTTTGCCTTTCACTTTCCTTCCTACCACTACTCCTAAAGACTATATATAGAGGGGACCCCTGCAAGCCTAGGGCCTCGCAAACGAGGCAAATCATGTTGCCCCCCGCCCCAACAGCGGTCATAATGGGCACATTGAAAAGATTAAAGCCAAAAAATTGCTGGTTACTCTCAATTATTGACTTTTGCCATCGCTTTCAGAAGGTTATGGGTTCACATTCCCTTGAGTTTCAAGCTCGTGCGAGCTCTCGTTCAGGAGGTAAAGTGTGGTTACTATCTGTTGGCAGTCTGTTCAGTGACTCTGTTGATACTGTGGGTTTGGGGACACAAGGTCATGCCATCCGAGAGGGTGAAGCTACCGTTTTATTCGGGGGGCTCTTAACCTCCACCCCCACCGACCCAGTTAACCTATGCCATCGGAGGCGGGTGAAGCTACCGTTTTATGCGGTTTACGTGTTGCCGTCACTCTGGTGTAATGAACCCAGATCATGAGACAGTTGTCAACAATGCAAGTCCAGAAAAATGTCCATCGGCTGATGATTACAAATAGTCAAAAATCGTGACCAGACAGAATGAGGTGAGATATCATACACAGACGAAGAGGGAGGAGGGAGAAGAGACAAAGGAGAGGAAGAAAAATGCCCACTCCTGCTTCGGGCTCCCTCCTCTACTGCCACCTCATCAATCAATAGTCTGAACGAGTATCCGAGTATCCTCAATGTGCCACGTGGCACGTCTAATCAGTTCTACGTCAGCATCTGGAGCAATGTCGACATGAAGACCACCAGGTACGTATCTTCGAACTCTCCACAGTCCTGATCTCCTCCTGAAGTGACGACGAACAGAACAGCAATGCCGAATATGTATTCCTAGTCACAGAACACGCGGACAGCAGCCACGTCAGCATGATACACGTGGCAGCAGCCACATCAGCGAAGGTGCATGGCAGCTGCCACGTCAGCAGGCCAAGAAGACAGGAGCAAGCCGGCCACCATGCCGGAATAGCAGCACCTCGCCAAGTCCCAATGCCAGCAGCGTYGAGCCAGCGTCGCAGCGTCAAGCCAGCGTCGAAGTCAATGCGTGAAGTCAGCGTCAACGCAAGACAGAATGAATGAATGTCAAAGCCAGGAAGTCAACTCTTATGTAGTGTTGACGCGGGGGTCTGGACCCCGGATGCTGTATCCCTCGGCCATCCAGATCTCAATGCGAATGAGGGCTCAGATCGGCCTGAAACCGAATTCCCTCGGGCCTGGATGCTGTCTGGGTACCTGCGCACAACAAGTGAGTGTATCCAACCCAGGGCCTGGGTGCGGTACCTTCTCACACAGCCACACTCGACACAACAATTGACTCTCTTGAATTTCCTGTGTGCGGCGTTCGGTCACACAGCCACACTCGACAGACTCAGGCCTGGGCGTGTCCTGGTCACACAGCCCAGCGCAGACCTTCTCAGGTCTGCGTGGCCTGGGGCTGAGTTCTGGGCCCCAGGCTACTTCTGAACAGGGTTATTACACTGGGAAGGTCACGGGTTCAATTCCCTTGAGTAGAGCTCGTGTGACTTCTTTCTTACGTAATCATGTGATAGAAATGGGGATGAGGAGGACTGTTACATACTCGTGAATGCATCAACGAGTATGGGGCAGAACCAAAGATCAACCAATATAGGAAGAGCATGTATGCAGCGGAAGTCTGATAAACAGACTGACTTACATAGACTGACTCACACAGATATCACTCCACACACATACAATCGTGAGATGGTGGGGTCTGAGCCATGCATAGACGATGCTCAGGCCCCGTACACACATACACAGATGAAAGGTGGGAGGAGAGACGAAGGAGGTGGGGGAGGTAGACAGCACCGAAGGTCACCGAGATAGAATCCGATAGGTCACCGATATGGTAGTCCAAAATGTCATCAAACAAGATCAAAATGTCGAGGACAATAAGTCACCAATGTCGGAGATACAGAGTCCTAATGTAAACGGTGTCCGAACTGTGATGCCGCCGAGTATCAACCCCAACAATCTCCAAGTCTCGAATCCGGTAAGTACCACAACCTCTTACCACCGAAGTCCAATACTGATCTCTGTCCAACTAGTATGAAGTCTCGAATATGAAGGAGAAGAAGAAGAAGTCTGAAGAAGAAGAAGAAGAGATGAGATGGCAGAGGAGGAGGGAGTGAGAGAGGGGGACTGGCGACGAGGAGGGAGGAGGAGAACCTCGCCTCCTGTACCTCAGGCGGCTATGGCCGCCGTGCTATGAAGTCGCCGCTGCCGCTGCTCCCTGGTGCTGCTGCTGCGCTACTGCTGCTGCCGCTGCTCCTCGCGCTGCGCTCGAAATAGCTCTGGCGCTAACTCCTGGTGCCAACCGAAACGCACCGGCAGAATGCTGTTGGCTCGATCCCTCAGAATGAGGCCGCCGGTCTTTTGTACTGGTGGGGCAGAGGCCGGCCTCAATGCTGCGAGGCCTGGCCGTGCCCTGAACCGTCGAGATTGACGGTTCAGCCCCAACCGGCGGGCGGCAGCCTCAGGAGTGCCGCCAGGCCCAAACGGTAATGTCGTTTGGGCCTGCCCGTCGGGTCTGGTCCCAAAATGTGGCCTTTACGGCCTGCTGTACCCCAAGTCTGGGCCTTTAGGCCCTACTGTGTCCTCCTGGCCCTAAGTCGGGTCCGGTAGGACCCGTGTGGCGTCGAAGATGTAACAAGGACACTAGCCAATTTTCAATTTTGTCCTTGCCCACAGTGCATACAGTTTCAGATTGACTGCACAATTAGGCACCCGGTTGAGTGCACTGGAAACCAAGTCATGGTGGCCATTATAGGCTCAATCTAGCCAGAATATCGCCCTAAATACAACTATGCTGACCATGTGTTTATAGACAGGGTTGGACATTAGGGGGAGCTGAAAACAAGGCAGCTACCGTCTTCACCCGAATAGAACGCCCAGTTATTATGGCTGTATCTGGACTGAAAAGTGCACCAAATACGGCTATAATGACCGGGCGTTCTATTCGGGTGAAGACGGTAGCATGTAGAGCAACCATCAGGGCAGAGGAGGTTCTCCGCCAACGACATAGTAAGGTCAGCGTCTTTGCCAACTATACC